CTTAGAAATAGCTATTTATTGTTACAAAAACGGCCAAAGTTTTTCTAAATTGCATGTCATAGCCAAATTTGATTTCCTACAATTTAGGATAGGTTTATAGCTACATATTTAACCCTCTACACATTTCATGCTCATAGTGTGCTTGCAGCATTTGTTCATTTTACCCATCCACGTTTTCAGTCTCCCACATTCGACAGAACAATGTTCAAACGAAATCCTTAAAATCTCTCCTCAAACTAGCAAAATGTTATCGCCTTAATATTGAAACCACCTTAACTACAAAATTTACATAATCCCTAAAATCTTTCCACAAAATTGAAACCACCAAATCTACCTATATCATCCAAATTAGTTTAAAATATTATTAATTTTTTTTAACAAACATAACTAGTTGGTTTGAAAATTCATTGGTTATTTTGTTTCTTCGCGTTTTTTATCCATATATTGCATATGTCATTTTATATATATACTCGGTCAATGATCATCAATCCGAAGTCCAAGTACAGAGCAACCAATTTGAAGTTGATATTCTTGATCGTACATTCACATGTAGACAATGAGACTTAGACTTGATCCCATGCCAACATGCATGTCTTGCTATTGGTCGGAGAGGGTTGAATTTAAATACGTTTGTTCATGATTTCTATCAAGTGTTAACATTGTAATTATTCTAGCAGGATGACATATATCCAATTGGTCAGACTTACAACTGCGTCAACAGTTGGTCAAGATGAGAGAGACATCCTCTCTCCAAATGTMAAGCGCTCTGCTGGTAGACTACGGAAAAAGGGACTTGTTGCTCCTATTGAAAAGAGATCGACAGTAAAATGTGGTAGATGTAGTCGGTCAGGACATGATCGGAGACGATGTAAAAATGCACTCTGACATTTGTTTTGTTCTTTGTTTTTTCTTAATTGTAATCTTTGCTGTTTTTTGATAATAAACAGTGAGAGTTATTTTATTATTTGTTTCCCAGTCAACAATTACACCATCACCAATTTGGGGGCCGGATAGAGTTGTTTCAATCAATTACCTTATAAGTTACATTTTGATAACATAGTATTAAACAGTCCATATATACAGTATATATATGTAGCTACTCAATGGTCAAAAGGAAGCATATAAAATCAGCATAAAAGAATCCAATATCTGGTCATGAAATGCAATCAGATATAGAATTAAATTGTCCATACACCATATAAGTACGTAGTTACCCCATTTTCAAAAGAAATCATAAAGAAGTTACAACCAGTGATAACTTCCTGATCCTCCAAGTCAAAAATAGGTGCCAATTGCCTTGCCTTTAATAATATCTCATGGAGATGAAGACAGGTTTCTACATATTATAAGATGCTAAAGAATTACCCAAAATAAAGAAGACATGAAATTATTAAACTACGGCTTTTGAAAGAATACATCAAGATTTTGAAAGAATGTTTATTGAGAAAGGGAAGTGAGGAAGAAGTTCCTAGCCTATCTCAAGCAAGAGATGTTAATACGACGGGATAGATATAGGATTCTACAGAGTAGATAATGATCATTTTGACTGGGTTATCCTTGTCAAAGATAATTATCTTTGAATATTGGCTATAGAAAACCAATATCCATCAACTTGAGTTTCCATGGTCATGAGGAATAAGAGAAAGGATATAGGATTACAAAAAAAAAAAAAAAACAAACAACAAGAATGACATATATAAAACGGTGAGGGGCTCTTTGTATTCATTTACTATCTATATTGTGTAAAGAAGATTCCTTTACTAAGGAATATATTCAGCAGTGAGGGAGCTCTTTGTTTCTATGGTCGCTTAGGAATATGTTCAGCTTTGTATTTATTTGAAACATTTGCATGGGTAGGGTTCCTAAATAACATTAAATTAGATTTACCCAATAAATACACAACATAAAGAAAGATTTGGGGTTGTGTAAACCATATAGATTTTCTAAAAAATATGACATTCTAAACAATATTAAAACAACGACATTTTAAAACTTAAGTCTTAGATTTCAACTACATCTCCAACAAAATCCCAAAAAAAAAAAAGAGGAAATATGTTATGAAAAACAACATTTTATTATAAAAACAACATCTATTAGATCTAATTTTGAAGTGTAGACTCAATGTTGTCTTCTACAAAATCTAGCATATTACAAAAACTATATTCAAGACATCCAAGCTCGCATATGTTCCAGAAACTCCATCAACAAGACATGCACCAACCGTGAACATATATCTGACGACGAAGACGCATAATCTTTCTACACAATGGCACCAGTAGATTTGTTCTAGAGGATGAGAACAAGAAAAAGGCTGTATTCCGCCATAAAAGGCCATTGTTCATTTTCTGGAGGAAAAACAATTTCGTGATATGGTATGATTACAAAAACTCCATTTTTAGTCTTCCAATGTACCAATTTTTACTACTTGCTCCATTTTTCAAATCCAAAATATATTACATTGCCAACTTTTTTTTAGTAATTTTGAATATTTTAATACTAAATTACATTCTCAGATAACGTAAATGAAATCTTTATTAAGTTCATATTTCATCTTTCACGTTGTGTAATTTTTTTTTAATTTAGAATTTCAAAGAATGAAATCAAAATAATCTCCAAGTTAATTTTTTTAAATATCGATTTTGTATATTTAGTCTCCTTAGATTATTATCTACTTTTTTTTAGGTATAAGTTGCTTAGAGATTTCCTAAAATCAAGCTAATGTATGACCTTTTTGTTTGAGGATATATCTGTCTAAATAAAATTTAAAATCGTATGATTGGTTTGACCATTTCGTTTCAAGGGCATATCTGTCATAAATAAATTAGGAATTGAATCATAATAAATTAGCCACTATCACAATATTTGATATTTTTGCTCATTTTTCAAAACGTATTATTTTTAATAACCATCCCTCTAATTAGCCCTTTTTTAAATGGTGGGTTTTGTGGCTAGATTCGAGCACCTTGCACGATTAAATACAAACATTTCTTTGATTTGATTTTGAGTATCTTGTTACTTAAATTTTGTATGATTTATTGTATGGGTAATCAACAATTTTTAGATTTAATTTTGAGAGGCATTGATTTGCAACAATTATATATACAAGTTTGAGATTTAAAGGGATGAAATTGAAAATTTAATTTCTCATCAAAATTTGTTCACCTACCTAAATTCAAGGTAAAAATTGAACTTAACAAAAAAATAAAGGCCGTCAAATCGTTTCAATTATGCCTCTAAACTTTCACACATTTCATTTTTACCTTTTAAACTTTAAAATATTTCAAGACAACTTTGTCAAAATTTTCAATAAAATAAAATAAAAATAGGACATGGCGATGAATTGTAAAATAGAAATACATGTGGTTGCACAATCACGCACGTGAAGATTGTTTAAATTATGCACTTGGCCATTTCAATTATGCTCCATCATTTCAAAACACCCTTTTGTTAAGCTTCCTCATCAAAGTAAAGACGAAAGTGTGATGTGGTGATCAATTGTAACAATAGAGGTTACACGTGAGCACATATGATAGTGGGTTGTAAAGAATTTGAAGAGTTTTTTGTCATTTTCGAAATGGAGCATCAACCGGAGGGAGGAGTAGATTTGAGAGTTTGAGCTAAAGTCAAACAGTGCACGAAGCCACACATTACGAAAAAAGTCATGCATCGATAATCTTATTGACACCATCACTCTCATTGACTACAAAAAGACTAAACACTGAAAAAATCGGAGAGTTGGGTCAAAAGAGAGAGAAATATTTCATGAGATACGGTCGATGAAAAAGAGCGAGTCTACAACACTAGTAGAATAACAAAGAAAATGATTGACTGACGAACGAATAATACAATTTTCTTCTTTAAAGGTAAGAAATTTATCAACTAGTCCAAATTATCATGGATTTGTCTTCCTCTTATTTCATTCATATCCTGTATTGGAGGTAAAATTAAACATGACACATGGACACACCTGTCCAATTGTCCAATTTGGGATAACCAAAAAGTGGGAATCTAAGTCAACTAGTCATACCGACCTAACCAACTACCAAGCTGAGAAATGCAATATCACCCGGCCAACTTGAGAAATCCAACCTCAGGTCCGACAGCTGTAACCGTCGATCGGAGTTGTTCCAACGATATTGTCCGCTCGCTTATCTATAAAAAGGACACTCCACTTCATTATCCAGGACGCAATTCTGCTTCGAGAACGACTTACCACAGCTTAGATTCACTCTAACTTGAACGTCAAAGTGCTTGTTCATTTTGCAGGTCCTTCTTGCTTAAGATGTACCTCAGTAGCTCATCTCGATTGACATGAGACTGACTTGTGGTAGCTCGGCGGAATCCTGCATCAACACCCTAATCCTAATTTTTTCATCATTTTGATCGTAGGAGAAACTCCACAAAAATTTGTTTTTCCCAAAAATCTTCTAATTCTTTAGAAGAGAGACAATATTTGACCTGGCCTCCCATTTTATTCTCTATTTGATCTCCCCTCCCCTCAACAAATAATGATAATGATAATAGTAAAAAATTAAATGAAGTCTATGTGAATGTGACTAAAATTTCTTTTTTTTTTTTACAACTCACTAACACGACACATTTCTATCTTCATCTTGTTGAGCGAGTTAAATGAAGAGTTGTTTTATAACCTTTAAAAGGCGATTGTGTCAAAATAAAACTTTTAATTAAAAACGTATAACTTATTGGTCTAGTCAAACGAAAATATTTAGATCCTTAATGGTGAGTGACAATTAATTTTTTTGGAAGCCATGTTCGATTTTTGTACAAAAATATAATTGAGTACAAGATAGGTCATCAAACCGAGCATAGATTTTATACCATATCAATATTCATAGCGTCGAATTAGCATCAGATTTCAAAGACCATAAGTCTTTTCTTTCCTAGGAAGGAACATCTTTTTCATGGATTTTATATAAATTTCTAGTGCTATGTTTTCAACGTGAGGTGAGATTCTTTAGCAGCCATCAGCAAGGACCTAATTATTTCGAAGAATGTAAATAATGCTTACCAAAAAACAAACATTCAGTGGGGTTGGAGTCTTGGTCGGGCAACTTGTTAAAGCCATCAAAGAACCGCTGTTCTTCATGGGACACCAAACAAGAAGAAGAATTTTGTTTATTATTATTGGAGTTGAGATTGCAGGCCAACGCCTGAGCTTCCTCCAACATATCCTCCAGCAACCCTCCGCCGCCGAAGCTCATGGTGGAGCTGACACCAATATTATTGTGTGTAATATCGTTTTGGTGAAACAATTGTGCTGAAGGGAGCTCCTGTTTTACCGAACCCACGCAGTTAGCCATATTAATCATTCCATGATCCGTGGCCTTGAACTGGGTGTGAAGAATCTGCGGCGAGCTGGTGGATAAAGTCATCGGAAATTGGAAAGAATCCACTCGAGATAACTGGGGTACCGTTGGGGAATGTACCGTCGGGGAATGTACTGTCGGAGAATGTACTGTCGGGGAATGGACGAGAACTGTGGTGGATATCTGTGGGGTACTTATCGAGACCGGGCACGGGTGCGAAGAAAACCCGGCCGAGTTAATGTTGTTGATGTTGTTGCTGTTGTTGTTGTTTCGGAAGTGCTTGAACTGGATCGGGGTGGCGGCGAGGATGGGCGGTGGGCGGTGGAAGGTGAACGAGTTCGAGGCAAGGAGGGGGTAGGAAGTGAAGGTGTGTTCCGGGTGGCCGTGTGGGGAAGAGAGAGGAGAGTGAGGCGGCGGCGTCACAGGCGACAGAGAGTGCATGGGGCTGTGGAAGTGGAAAAAGCCTCCACCGCTGCAGCCCGTGGGAGTGGTCGGGGTAGATGATGTCGGCGTCGTGGGGGCGGTGGTGGGGAGAGGGCTTGTCGGGGTGGTCGGCTGCGACTGCGCTGCGGATGGCTTAATGTTGTATGGATATAGCGACAGACCTTGTCGTTGTCGTCTCTTAACCCTCGTGTTCCAATAGTTCTTTATTTCGTTGTCTGTTCTTCCTGGTAACTAGAGAGCACATAATACAAATTAACACAACCCCATGAAGCTAACAATTATGATAATTTCTTTAACAATATGTTTTTGTTTGCATTTTCTATATACCTGGGCGGCCATGCGAGCCCATTTGTTGCCGTAGGTGGCGTGGAGCTCAAGAATGAGCCTCTCCTCCTCCGGTGAGAAAGCTCCCTTCTTCAAGTTGGGCCGGAGGTGGTTGGCCCACCGGAGCCGGCAGCTCTTGCCACAGCGGTTGAGGCCGGAGTTTCTCTGGACGGCGTTCCAGTTCCCCTCGCCGTGCTTCCTCACGTACTCCATCAGAATCGCATCCTCCGCCGCCGTCCACGGCCCCTTCTTCAGGCCCCCGACCTCCGATCCTCCGCCGCTGCCCGTCGCCACCCCGACACTTGGCGTCATCGCACAACCAAACAACAAGGACCAAATAAACAGCACAACAATTAATTAATTCTGTGGTGCCCGGGATATATATTATAATTACAACTACAAAGGCCTTTTTTCAGCTTCTATTTCTGGGCTCTTTCTGTTTGGTGGGCCCCCTCTCTCCGACGACAAAGACCGAATTAACCTTTCTTACATAATCAGATCGGCGGCGGCGGCGGTGGCGGTGGTTGAAGACGGCGGTGGAGAGTTGGTGGAATGGTTGAAGGGAAAATGGCTACGTTTTATTGGGTTTGTGTCTGGGAGAGTGACAGCGAAGTAGAGGTAAGAAGACAGCGCTTACAACGCCCTCCACCGTTCCTCCATTTTTTTCACGCGCTATTCAATTACCAATTTACCATATTATTAATTGCCTTAAAATATCTCTCTACTCACCACATATTTTATTTTTGGGATAATTATCTCACATTTAATGAATCCTCTATTTTAATCTCTCATCTTAGTTTTTCGTTAATCACTTTTAACTGAAAAAATGTATTTTTGGGTTTCCACGTCGGTGTTAAATCCGGTCGCCATGTTAATTTTTAGTTGACGTGATTAATATAACTTAAATGTCGAGGATTAAAATGGGGAGCGCTATTTAAATTTTGATAGTAATTAAAGTGTTAGATTTTGAAAAACTGAGCGACCAAACACAATATTATCTAAATCTGAGGGCCAAAAGATGGTTTTCTTATATTTTATTTATTTTGGTCATTTTAGTTTTGAATTTTCAAATTTAGTCTTAATAGTTTCGATAATCTTAAAAGTTTTCCCACAATTAATTTGAAGTTAATTTGTATCTAACTTCTTAAAATCATAATAATAGAAATTTCCTTAATGTGAAAAATAATATTATCTCTGTATTCTTGGAGTGAAGAATAAAAGAAACACAAAAGAAAGCCTTTCTCCTATTGGTGACCAGTTAGCAAAGTAATTTTTTGCTAATGGATTAGGGGATATATATCATATTATAGTGTGAATATGTTTAAAATTTAAGGGATACGTAGTTGTATAACCATGAGTACTATTTTAAATATTAATTAAAAGCAAGGATACTGAATTTAAATATTTGAAAGTATTGAACTAAAATAGAATGAGTCCAACTTCAAAATAAGTGAACAAAAATAGTATAATAATTAAAAGTAGGGATACTAAATTTAGATATTTAAAAGTATTCGAGACTGAAATAGAATGAGTTGAACTCTAAAGTAAGTGAACCAAACCGGTATTTTGCCTCTTTGGAAAGGGGACAATGTTTACAGCCCAAGATTTTACAGTCTCTTTCCCTGAATTTTTACCGTGGTGTTTTGCTGTTTAACTTTGGTAAATTGAGAGTGCCAGGGGTAACTTTCTCCTGAGGCCTTGGGGGATGATTGGAGAATTGCTAAAAATAAGACCAATTTAAAGGTATTAAAGACTTTTCGACACACTTTTTTATTCCTAGGTTATTACAACTATTCAGAGGGAAAATTAGCCTTTGTTTCTTTATAAAAGCTATATTAACACACAATGTATCTAGCAAAGCTATATTAACACACGATGTATCTTCTTAGATTACGAGTTCTTCGCCCCTTCAACCTTACGACCTTCACATGTGGCTCTTTAGGCAAGGGCGAACTCTACCTAAAGCGTCGGCGGCTAAGTTTTTCCATTGTTATATTCACTAGATTGGAACTTATATTTTCCTGCTTTCTCTTGCTGTGTTTTGGCCTTGCCAGAAGTTGCTAGAAAAAGAACAAAATTTAAGATGGGTACATTTTTTTCCTATTAATCTTGTTTGCTTTATTTGCATTCAGAATCTCTCTTTGTTATAGTCATCTGACTTAATTCTTTTCTTGCACATTTTAGTTTGTTCGAAGTAATAATTTGGAACATATTGATGATATTCACCGACTGGAAACTTGTATTTTCATAATTTGTTGCTTGATTTAATTTTGACAATGTGCGAGAAAAAAAAAAGAATGTTAAATAGTCATTTCCTTTCCATATTTAAAGTTTTGTTGGATTTAATTTAATTTGCATGGCTGATTTTCTTTTTCTGGGTTTTTGTGTTTTATTATTTTTTTTCCATTTTTTTTATTGGTGGGTCTAATATTTAGTATGTGAAAGGGGTGTGGATTCTATGTTGGTGATGAATATAAAGGAGGATTATAAGAAGTACATTTTCAAATCCTTATGTGATTTGATTTGATATTTTTGTAACATAATTAATTTAATCTTTTTGTAACAGCATTATTCAGAACTAAAGTAGATTATTATTTTTACCACAGGGAACTCAATTCTTCATCACTCGTCGATTGTACCTTGCATGTTTGTGTTAATCCGTGACATTGATGAACAATTTTGTGGCCACAACGAACGGGAGTTATTCAAGCAAAATCCATCAATGGAAAACCTGGTCACAGACTTTAAAATGGTCAGTTTCCTCAGACATTCTTGTTTTTCTTTGACTTATTTACTTTATTTGAAGCCATATGGATCATACAAGTGCTATTCGATAACTTAAAAATTGTGCTTTAATGATTTATTGCTCTGATTTTGGCTTATAAATACTTTGTTAGAATATGGTTTTGTAGAAAATCTATCAAAAAAAATTGTTAGATATCCGTAAATGAATTCAATTTACTCAATCCATTAGTTTAATATTTTGGATTTATAGGTAGTCCAATCATGTTTAAGATGGCATACGAACATGAGTTTCTGTCTTGTGTTAGAACCTTCTGTAATTGTTTGGAAAATTATCTCTCAAATGGCTTAAATGAGTAATGATATTTTTACAAGTGCCTTTTCATTCCCATTTCGAGTACAAAAATCCCCTCGAACATCATGTTTCGGAGTGAAGGTTTTCTCATTCATGACCCATATCTTTGTAGCAACATTTTTTTTTATATATCTATTCCAACAACTCTTTAATTTCCCCGACATATTAATTAGGTTATATAATATATAACTTGTATTGTTATTTAGTTATATAATAAACACCTTGTATTGTTACATCTCTTTAAAAGTTGTAGTACTTCTTTTCCAACGAATAATTCTCTTTTCCGACGAAAATTATATAATATATACCTTTTAATATAATCTACAGTATGAAAAAATATACCCGCCCAATATTTTTATTGTTTATCTTCAAAAATATTACATTATATAAAATCCTTGAAGTATGTGCTGCATATATCCAGAATATATACCATATAATAACACAACATGGACTCCACAAAATAGTTCATCTCTCTTTCTCCTTTGGAATACCCTAGCTCCCTAATATTTTTCTCTTCACCTCATTTTAACTTCATCTCCCACCCCTTCCTCGCCGGTGGCGTAGCAGCTAAGACTTCGACAATGACCCATGACCTAGCAATAGGAACCCCTGCGACGGCGCGACCCGACGACAACAACCCCTGTGATTGGCGGTGATCTTCTCTGCATAAGCTCACCTCACGGCGTAACACCCAATCGACGGCAACCCATGTACGTGTTGGGTGTGTTGCCCTAAACTCGTAGTTTGTATTTATGTAAAAACAAATGTATATTCAATAAAGTTTTATTCAATAAATTTGTTGTTGAATT